TGTCGCCTCCCCCCCTTGAACATACACACATACACACACACACACACACACGTTGTTTTTTTTTTTCCTTTTTTTTTTTTTTGATTGATTGATTGATTGATTGGTGGGGAAGGGGTCGCCCTTCCCCACCAAAACACACACACACACACGAAAAATTAAAATTTCTTTTCTTTATTACGTTTCTTTTCATTAAAACACGTTTTTTTTGTTTTGTATTTTTTAAAACTAATAAAACACTAGGAAAAAAAAAAACAAAATCACCACGTTGTAGGTCTTTTCAAACCCTACAACCCTTTTTTTTTCTTTTGTATTTTTTCTAGTTTTGTTTTTTTTAAATGTTTGAAACTCTCGGCCGCACCAACCTCAGGGGCCGACCTCAGCGGTCGGGATCCCGACCGCTAGCCGAGATTGACCATGCGGTCATGACCGTGGGGGATACATAGCTTCTCCCTTTAATTCGTCGCATGAATGGCATGGATGTGAATGCAATGATTGGATGCCACCTGAAATAGTATGGGTAGGATAGTCGCACGCAGGTAGGACACAACCAATACACCGGCGCGAGGAACCCGCGCTTGATCAACTTCCGCTCATGTGCGCGCTCGCGTACGACTGTGATCTCGAGGAAACCGAGTCGCAACGTACGCGCGCGTCTGCATGAGTTGATCTCAATCTTGACTCATGATGAGGATGCGGGAAATTGAGTTCACTAATCAGGTATGACTGTAAAACCCCCCTCTTGGATCACCGATCGTAAGAGTCCGAGGGACCCTGAGTATTGGGAATACTTGGAGGGTGAACAGCTCCGACGGTGGGGAAACTTGAGAAACCCGGAATTCCCCTATCTGACGGAGAACGACCGACTGTGTGCGGGGGACTTTCACTGGGCCATAACCAGCGATCCCCTAGTCCCAGACTCCCCGAGTACTAACAACACTCAGTGTTACATATCCCCGGGCTTCGTCGTTATTACTACCAGCTTTCCTCCCTTCCATCTCCTCCTCCCCTACCATCAGCTCACAGTGGTTCCGTGGAATTCCATAGCTCACTATTGGCCCCGCACACCGTGCGAAGAGGCCCGGCAGCACCCAGCGTATAGGACTTCGGGATTTATCCAACGAACCCAAGCCGAGGCCGAGCGGTTCCGGCAGCTGTTCGAACAACGCGACAGCCATAGCGACCCACCTGTCCACCAGAGACGGGATCGACCGCGACGACGACACTCATACTGGAGGTAGCCCAGTCTCCCGAAGTCCAATAGAACTCGGGACCACCATCTTGCTCAACTACCCCTAAGCTTGCCATCGGAGATCTCAGTTTTGACCTGGGACTCCACCCCGCCTTTCCTAAAATGCTCCACATCCCGTTTGGAAATTTGTTGGAAGTCGTCAGAGATGCCCTGTTCGGTTTGATGTGCTGCTGATAATGGTCAGAGTTTCCATCTTGGGGATTGGTGTGGCACCCTTCGCATATGCCCCCACGTGGTCCCTTTCACCTTTTTCAGATGCCCCAGTGTCGGTGGCCGTGGGCTCCTCGAGGCCTGAGGGCACCTGAAAAAGGTGAAAGGGACCACGTGGGGGCATATGCGGAGGGTGCCAGACCAATCCCCAAGATGGAAATTCTGACCATTATTCGCAGCCAAAAGGCTGCGTCTATTGCCATTGTCTTTTTGTCGTTGTCGTCGGTCGGAATGAAGCTTTGGTAGGATCTATTTGGGCAGAATACGGCCTTTAGAAATTAACGGTCGCCCGCAAGTCTAAGACCAGTCGCTGAGCGGGCGACGTGCAGCAGGCTGGGCAGGTCCTGCTGGCGAAAGGGTGGACGAAATAGCAGGGCGGGAAGGGAGTTTATTTTTCGTAGGGGGATTGGTTGGGTTTGTTTTTTTTTCCCTACTGGAGCGGTCACGGTTGGGGAAGACGGTGGTATTCGTCACCTGAGCAGGGATTGGGTGTGTAGGCTGTACGGGTGCGGTTTGGGTTTGTTTTTTTTGCCCTCCTGGAGCGGTCACGGTTGGGGAAGACGGTGGTGGTATCTGTCACCTGTCGAGGGGTTCGTTGTGTAGGCTGTACAGGTGTCCAGATGCCTGGGCATGCGAAGTGTCGAAAGGGGGGGGGGGGAGCTGGTCGGGCCGGTGGTGAATGCGTGGCGGGGAGCGATGGGAATGGAGGGCAAACCGTCATTCATTCATTCATTTCATTTTGAAAGGGGGGCAAGGAGGGCGAGCTATCGGAATGGAGGGCAAGCCGTCATTCATTCGTTCATTCAGAAAGGGGGGCAATCGAGGGGGAGCTATCGGAATGGAGGGTTCATTCATTCATTCAGAAAGGGGGGCATGGAAGGAGAGTTATCGGTGGGAGTGCGGTGGCAGGCGGGGCAGTGAAAGCCATTGCCTGCAAGCGCTGGCATGACAATGGCGGGCGTGGAGGGGGGGCTATCGGGGGGACGGTCGTTGTGGGGCATAAGAGAATAAGAGAATGCGCCCTGCCGTTGAAGATGCACAAGCAGGTGTGTTCACGTGTGCTGAGAGGAGACAGGAAGGTCTGTAGAAGCAGAGTTCCGTACGCGGTGTTCGAGCAGACGGAGGGCGGGTGTTCAGGAAGCTCGGGACTGAAGGTGAGTGCAACGTTTATCTTTTTCTTCTTCTTCACCTTCTTTTTCTTTTTCTTCTTCTTTGTTTTGTCCCGTCGTTGTTCTCTTTATCTTGTTTCCTTTCCCATCGTTGCCTCTTCTTCGTGTCTCTCTCTCTTCTTCGAGCTGAGATGATGCTTACATTATGACTTTCTCGACCGAATCTCCACGTAATTGCAGTCGGCGATTCATCCACGAAAGTGCAACTGTGAGTCTGGCATAGGAACCCTTCTTTCGCTAATTCTGGTTCCCGCTCTTCGAGCCCTGGCAATTGAATATCGACGACGAAGGTCCCGCCCTCGTACGGGGTCCCGGCGAGGCCGACGATCGTTCCTCTCATCAAAGACAACTCATCGCCGCACACAGACACGCTCACACCTGAGTGCAGTTTGTCTTTTTCTATTTCCACGAGCTCCTTCTGCACACGAGACACGTCCAGCTGCATGATGACGTATCACACTCACCTCTCTCTCTATCTATCTATCTATCTCGCTCCCTGTGTGTGCGTGGGTTAGAGAGTCTTCCTTGTGTATGTCTATCTAAACGTATGTGCGTCTATATATGTACATGTACATCGTATGTAGACGTGCATGTCTCAAGACTTCATCTAATGTATTTTGTCATCTATAAAGGTAATTGATTGCTATGTTCGATTTGTAATTGTTTCCTCTCGCCAAATACTTCCCGCCAACTCACCTCCCGCCAAATACTTCGCCCGCCAAAAATACTTCCCGCCAACTAACCTCCCGCCAGAAGTACTTCCAAAAATACTTCCCACCAACTCACCTCCCGCCAAATACTTCGCCCGCCAAAAATACTTCCCGCCAACTGACCTCCCGCCAGAAGTACTTCCAAAAATACTTCCCGCCAACTGACCTCCCGCCAGAAGTACTTCCCGCCAACTGATGGACTATCACTTGCAACAAAATGAGGAACGATCTTCAGAAATCTTATGGTCTTCCCGCCAAATCACGCTCCGTTGAGAGGAAGCGGTTCTTTGCAGAAAGGATATAGATCAGAAGCCTGCCTGCCTAATCGGGTAAAGATTAGATTCCTAATCAGGTAAGATTAGATTTATGATCGGATAAGAAGATCAGATTTTCTGAGCGGATAAGCTCTCAAGTTTATAAAAGCGGGAAAAAGGAAAAAGATTAAAAAAAAAATAAATCGAAATTCGCTGCCGTTAAACAAGAAAACGACACGACTGCTCCACTGCTCACCCGCCGCCTCCAGTGCTCCCTCCTCCCTCCTCCCTCCTCCCTCGCTCTCTCCCCCTTTATTCTCCCCTGAACTTCCGCTCCCCCCCCCCGCTTCTTTCCCTCCCTTCTTCCTCCTCTTACGTGCGTAATTTTTCCCGCCTTTTTCATAAATGTAAAATGCAACTAACTCACGCCTTTTTTTGTGAATCAGAATTGAACCGATCAGTACTTATCGAACTTGATTAATTAAAATTTTTATTGCATTATATCCAGAAAAATGAAGTCTAATCCCCTCCCCCGCTAATTAGTCAGGTGCGTGTGCGTGAGCAAGTGGAATACATGATCAGATCACGATCGAGTACTCTCAGCAAAAAGCGACAAAAAACGGGGAGAGACGGAGGGAGGGGGGGCAGGATCCTTACTTGGCATCGCGAATGGGCTCTACGTGGCTGTATCTGACAGGACGTAAGCAGCTCATAGTAAAGTAGTTAAAAAAAATGGAATTCGGCTAATAACAGTAAATAAGAAGAAAATTCATATATTTATTTAAGTAAGATTTGAAAAACAAAAAGGTGCGTCTTTCTATTTTATTTCTACATCATGACTATATTCAAATCAAGAATTCAATTTATTTTATTTTTTTTTCCCTTTGATTATATCATTTTTCCTCCGTTTTGTCATGATGGTCACCCTTCGCAATTTGGAGTTTCCGGAGGATGAATTTTTTATTATGATTTTTATTGTTTTGATTGCGATTCTTTGAATAGAATATTTAATAATACAGGGAAATCGTTAAAAGGAAAGGTATGAATAATTCGTTCATTGGATTATTTTTTATCGTTAGGTTCCCTCGACTGATTATTATTTAAGAAAAAAGAAAGACCTCGAGAGATGCATGCAAGCAAGATTTGCCCCTTGGCTGATTGGTACACAGCTAAGCCTATTATATTTATTTATTTATATGATTAATAAACGAATTGCCTTCTCAAACTCTGCCAGATAAAATAATCTTACTTGCATTTCCCCTTCAAGATCCGGAAAAAAGAAAAGGGGCAATGGCTCTTGCTCTGGGGCGAGGTCCCACTCGCAAAAAAGATAGGATCGAGCTCCTGAATCTGGATGTGTTTTATGCATAGATGCACAAAAGCAGTTCAATCTCGATTTCCTGCACATCTCCTTAACCTCGTCCAGATTCAGGCATTCGATTCGATCCTTTTTTCTAGTGGGACCACGCGCCTGGGCTCATGTCCCACTAGCAACGTTGAGTTTCCTCAAGCGGCCACAAAACTAATTATCTGTTAATCCAACAAAACGACAAAAATTAGAGAGATCACCAAGAACAGAGAACAAAAGAAGAGACACGGTCGAACGGAACAAAACAAAATAGAAAAAAAGTCATCCTCTATCTTAGACAACAAAAACAAACAACGAGGGGAAAAAAAAAAAGAAAAACAGAAAAAAAAAATTAAAAAAAAAAAAGGAATTCACTCAACTAACCCTTCGATTATCTTGCGTTGTCCGTTTCTCAGAAACGACAAAAAATCAAGAGAAGGTCGTTTGCAAGGATCCTTATCC